GTCACATCCCCCAACCCGAGCCCCACCCTGCACCCCACCCGTCTTTCTGACACTCACCTCCGAAACATATGCAGTGACTGGGCTCCGACCTTGCCCCGTGCAGCAGGAGTTCAGCGTGAGATCTGCTGCTTACAGAGCGAGGTCAGGACGCAACAGGCAGCGGGCACAAATACCAGCAGAAGGCACCGCCTGCCCGCAGGTGGGCGGCAGCACAGCCAAGGCTGGCGTTCATTTAACCGGGGAGTGCAGTCGCCATTTCCCTAGCCGGTTCCCATCCAAGCCCATGTGTCCAGGGAGTTACCTGAAAGACTTCAGGCCTGGACTCAGTTGGTTCAACCGCCTGGCCCAGACAGAAGTAAAAGCCGTGTGTCTTCAGCCCACGCCAGGCCCTTTACCTGCTTGGGGCGGCCCGGCTCTGTGGCGCTTTCCTTTTTGCCGGAGCGCTGCCAGGAACACACAAACGCAGAATCCCACCCAGAGTCGGAAAACACTTCGGTGGGCGGGTCTGAGGCATGGGAGAGCCTAAACCCCGTGTCATCTGGTAGCCACGCTGGAAGTGGACCTGAGCATCCCCAGAGTGGGACGTATCTGGGGTTTTGGCTGCCAGCGATGGGGCATCTCCCGAAGGCTCTGGGCTCCGCTGCTAAAGGAGCTGCCAGAAAACTGCCTCTGAGCCGACGCCCTGGCTGCCCAGGAGAACTGCCTTGGAGGAATCTCCTTTGTGTCCTTGCTGCCCACTCTCGGTCTCCTGTCCCCGCATCTGGCTGTCTCAAGGCTGGATGGAGCACTGGGGACGGGAGCCCTGACTTGCTGATAGGCACAGAAGTTGGCGCCTGGTTGGAGGGTCCCTTTGTGCACTCACCAGCAGGGCATGGAGTGGAATGACCTGGGGAGGTGACTCGCTGAGCCTCAGATTCTTCCCTGTCAAAGGTTGGAAAGACACCTGTCTGTCATCAGCTTGTCGGGAAGATGGGAATGAGGCCATGCTGCGCTGGCCTAGTGCCTGTCAGTGAGTGAGAGCTCCGGAAACGGTAACAGGTATGAGTGCATACACTAGGTGCTGGCGGTGGGTTGGTGTATGTGTTCGCACATCTACGGAAACGAACCCTGCCATCTCCCCGAGAGATGACCAAAGCGGTGCCAGCCAGCAGCAAGTCCCCCTGCGCTGTAACACAGCAGACGTGGGAAGAACATCAGCGGCCAGGCTGGGCAAGCACAGCAGAGCTGGCCAGGCCGCCTCGGACTCACGCGGGAGCACCCCTGCACCCCGGGAGCCAGCGGGCGCCCGCCACGCATACAGAGCTGCGGAGGAGCTCTGGGCAGGGTCCGCGGGGGTGTCCGGATGCCCTGGTGACTGGGCGTGATGAAGGAGCAGGGTCAGCCATGCCCTTGGCCACACCACGTTCAGGGCCTTTGGAGGCTGCTCGTGTATTTCCCAAAGCTCTGCTTGAGACGTTGGAGACCCGGGACTGTGGTCTGACAAGGAAGTGACAGAGGCGGCCAGTGAGAACTCACCCTTGAGCCTCTCTCCCTGGGACAGGGCTAGAGCTGAGAGTGATAAATTCCTCCGGATGGGATGTTTCTTGCCTTGTCACCTGTCTTAGCTGGGGGAAGATCCCTGGAGTCCATTTCGGAGGACTGTGGCTTCCTCCAGCAATGTGCCTGGGGGAGACTGTTAGCCTAACCTGCTCCCAGAAAGCAGCGTCTGCCTGGGGGAGGTTTGGTTCCTGACGTCATGCTGTGCTCTCCTGGACTGTCACAGGGGAACTGATTTTCTGTAATCTCCTCCCGTCTTTCTGTTTTTCTCTGCTCCTGTGGGCAGGGGTGGGAGGGTGGGGGGCCACCCTGCAGCCCCCCTTTTCCCAGCCTGCACCCGAATGTGCTTTCTCCGTTTACTGTTTGGCAGCGACATGAGGCCCTGCCGGGTACTGCTATTTAAAAACCACGGGAAAGCCCTGCGTGCTGCTGCCAGCAAGAGGGAAGAAGTTCTGGCGCAAGCGCAGGGCAGTCCTTGTCCACACGGGGCCCATTTCCGTGGGGAAGAAGTGAAGAGGTTTGGGAGAGGAAAAGGCAACAAAACAACGCTCCGTTTCCTCGGAGCTCTGCCACGTACACAGGTTCTTGGATCCCAAGGTGTCAGGGGACCCACACCCTGGAGCACCCCCTCCTCTCTGGACCCCTGGTCTTTAGTCTCTGCAGAGAAGTCCAGGAACTAGAGGTTTCTCAGCTTCACATGGCCCTGCTGGGGCGGAGCCTTGCTGTCTTGCCAGCGTGTGTTCCCTGCCCCTGCTCCTTGTAGGGCTTGGAGAGCTGCATCCCACGGGAGGGGGCCCTGACCCAGCCCTGGGTTCCGCGGTCTTTATTCTTCAGTATTCGTGGCAACACCTCTACTTAGCACCAGACTGTTGCCCGGGTAACGTCAGAGACACCTGTGTCCCTTCTTGGAACACAGAGGGTTAAAAACTTCCACAGACACCCCTGTGGCCATAGCCTTTATCTCCTGGGAGGAAGGGGATCTGTGTTATTCCCATTTTACAGATGAGAAAATGGGGCCCCGAAGAGGATCAGGGGCCAGGCGCAGTGGCTCACGCCTATAATCCCAGCACTTTGAGAGGCTGAGGCAGGAGGATCACTTGAGGCCAGGAGTTCGAGACCAGCCTGGGCAACGTAGGGAGACCCCGTTTCTACAGAAAATAGAAAAATTAGCTGGACGTGGTGGCACATGCCTATAGTCCCAGCTGCTTGGGAGGCTGAGGCAGGAGTATTGCTTTAGCCCAGGAGTTTGTGCCTGCAGTGAGCTGTGATGACGCCACTGTACTCCAGCTGGGGCAACAGAGTGAGACCCTGTCTCTGATTAAAAAAAAGAAAAGGACCAGGAGCTTGTTGGAGCCAGCCAGCAAGGCGGGATGGAGCCAGGACTCAGGCCCAGGTTGGCCTCCCCATGCCACGCTCCCCTGAGCCCAGGCTTCCCACCCGGTGGCCACAGCCCACCTGGCCTGCCCTCCTCATCGCCCTCTGGTGCAGGTGTGGTTCCCAACTGCTCCAAGTCCCAGGGCCTGGGCCTGTGCGCATAGGCCCCTGGCCTGCTGTTGTCTCCTCGCCCTCTCTTGAGTCTGTCCCCAAACTGCCTCTGTTGGGTGCAGCCTCCATGAGCTCCTTCCCAGCAGTGCGCAGTCCTTGCCCACCCTGCAGGTTCCTGGGACCTCCCCGCGCTGGTGCGGGTTTGCCACCGCACCCGCACGCACGGTGTGAGCTGACACACTGCAGCCGGGTGAGGGAGGCCTCTCTAGTCTTGCTTGGGGAGTCCGTTGCTGTTGGGATGAGGGAAGGTTGTTTTACAGAGTCCTAGAGTGTCCATCAGCCCCAGGAGCCTGGTGGACCAGCTGTCCGCCCCTCACTGGACAGAGGAATCTGAGGCCCCGAAGGGTGTGAAGAAGGGCAGTGTGGCATCAGTTGTTCCCTGTGGGGCAGTGACGTGGGATGGGCTGAGCACTGGACTGAGGCCACTCTGGCCTCTGCCACCTGTCAGACCCTCCCCTGCTCTGAGCTCTGTTGCAGGGATGTGACCTGCAGGTGCTGAGCGGCTGTGCACTGTCCCTCTGGACCTGCCCGATGGCTCCCCACAAGCCACTGCTCGGCTGGTCTTATGTGATTGGGCTTCTCCATTGTTGCCCTCTGCATTGTGCGCCCGAGCGTGCAGCCTGTGGGTGCTTAGATAAAAATGCCTCCGCTGCCCTCGCCTTCTTTGGTGATCTCCATCGGAAGGATCTGGGAAAACACCCTTGTCGGTAAAGGCCCGGCCCTTTTGTCACATGGCCTCCTGGGGCTCTGCCCTCTCTTAAGAATAGAATTGGTCTTGGCGGTGGTAGGGTGAGGATTTCTGGAATGGGGATAAAAATTGCCAGGTTTAGTAAGGAAGAATTCCTCTCCTTAAATAGATTTTGAACTTGGAAACCTGATGGCAGAGGAGTGAGCCTCAGCAAAGAGAGAAAACACAAAGGAAGCTAAGTTCACCTTGATTTCACCTTGGCGCCCAGCAGCCTCCACTCTCTCCCGGGGGCTGGGCTGGGCACTCTGGGGTAGGGAGTGGGAAGCCGCACGTCCAGGGTGTCCCCTGTCCGCCAGGACCACCCTCATCTTCCTTGTCTGCAGAATCCCCAGGCGCTGCCGTCTCCCCCACTTGGAGCCCTGTGGCTTCTGCCCCTGTGGTTTTGCTGGTCAGGGGTCCACTTTCTCAGGAATTCAGGGTCTCGTCCCTTCCTTCAGGGCCGGGTGTTCTGGGGGACACTCGATCTTCCATCTCCACAGCCTGTTCTTATTAAAGTTAACTTAAGGATATTGTTTTTCTGAAGAAATGTTTCTTGCCGAGGAAGAAAAGGATTCTGCGTGTGTGTGTGTTGTGAGTAGTTGTATAGACGAGAGTTTAAATCTCAGCTTTATCACTCGCTCTTTGGGACCCAGGCTCTACCCAGTGGAAATATTAAAAGTAGTGACTGCCTCACTTGCTTGCTGAGAAAATAAAACAAGAAGGTGCTTTCTGCCCACAGACCCTGTACTCTCCAAACACACACGGGCGTGCACATGCACACGCGTGCACACACACGCACACAGACGGCTGGCTGTTTTCACTCGACAGACATCCCGGGAGGCGGAAGTGCAGTGAGGAGGAGAGCGCTGTGTACGCTGAAGCCAGGGGTGGGGTGCTGTCCTTGGGGCTCCTTTGAAGTCTCTCCTCAAACCACTCTCAGGCAAGAGGTGCCTCTGTTGCCACCACATCTACAAATAAAACGTGCAGTGACTCGTCGCAGCTGCGTGATTGGTAGTGGCTCTCTCCGGCCTTCCACGGAGGGGCCGTTGCTCCTGGGACGAGGGAGGGAAGGTCCTCTGAGCATTTTGCTCAGCCTGTTTGTGAAATGGGGCAAAGCCACTGCCGACTGTGCGTTGCGTGGGTGGCGGCAGCAAGGTCCTCGGAGCCCACCAAGAGCACCTGTGCCATAGGCATGGCCTTTCTCATGTCGTGGCCACAGGCAGTGAGTGCCTTTGCTTTGAATCCATCCTAACTGGAAAGTAGAGGTCGTCTTTCTAATGTAGAGCTTTTTGTTTACTTGTTTCTAGAGCAAATCATGGAGGAAAATAAAAAACATGGTGCACTGGTCTCCCTTTGTCATGTCCTTCAAGAAGAAGTACCCCTGGATCCAGCTGGCAGGACATGCAGGTAGACGCAGCTCCCCCCCGGACCGATGAGCCACCCAGCAGACGCGGGGTGGGAGGTGGGCGGGGCCTGACTCTCTGTCCTGGGGGTGACAGTACCCAGCGCCGTTCTCTCCGAGAGAGGGGCCTGAAATTGCAGCCACACTTGCAAGATGTGGCCTTAACACTGCCTTGTGAATGAACACGGACAACTGCCCTCTCTCTCGCCCTCTTACCCCAAAGCACACGTGCCTCCCCCAATCCCTGTCTCTTCCAGTCTCCTTCTTTCTCCCTCCAATTTTACTCAGCAAGACAGATGAAGCCATCAGTCCTTATAGCTTGCCCACCATTTGTCACCCCAGACAAAGAGGCAAAGCTAACTGCTTCACTGAGTGCCGACTATGTGCCTGCATCGCCACGGTCCTAGGGGCTACAATGTTAATGGAGACATAGTCTCTGCCTCGAAGGACTCTGTGGCTGGTGGAAGATGCAGGCAGGTCACCAGCGGCCGCAGGACCATGTGCAGGTGCAGGCTGCAAGGTGTCTAGGAGCTGGGTCAGGGTGTGGTCTCCAGTTGGCCCAGCAGTGACAGGGCAGGAGGAACACCCGGAGCCAAGGCCCCAGAGTCATCCGGGCCCACACATGGGGCCCTTTGGATGCACCATCCGCTGGACACTTCAGTGGCCTGTGGGCTCTGTCCAGGCTAGCTCAGGCTCCAGTGTTTCTTTGTTACCCCTGACCACATATAGGAAGGGGACACACTCTGTAAATACCTACCTGAGGGTCTGGCTCAGAAAGAGCACCGCCCACGTGGTCTGGGCCTTGGACCCCCACTGCTCAGCCCACTCATCTCCCCAGTCTTGGCTCTGAATCCCGTCCCATCAGGGCTTCTCAACTGAGGCCAGGGACAGCCTGAGAAGCGGGTTGGTGATGGAGGTGGGGTTGCCATAGTAATACCAAGGCGCGAGCAGGTTTGGCGCTCAGATCTGTCCCATGGCCCTGTGAGCCTCGGCAGTGAGCACTGGTGTTCCTCCATCTTGAGATGAGGAGTCTGGGGTTAGGGAAGCTGGGGGACCAGCCTGGGGTTGCAGTCAGTGAGTAGGGGCACTGGGACTTGAACCCAATCCCCTTAAAGTGCTTGGTCCACAGCGGAAACTCGGACTGTCCTTCAGCCCCAGGTGTAGCCAGCCCCAGAGCGCAGCCTCCCCCGGGGACCCAGGCACCTCCAGGGGAGGGCACCTTTGCCCGCCGGCCGCGGCTCGGGACACAGGGCCTTCTCCGCTTGCTCTGCAGGGAGTTTCAAGGCGGCCGCCAACGGCAGGATCCTGAAGAAGCACTGCGAGTCGGAGCAGCGCTGCCTGGACCGGCTGATGGCGGACGTGCTGAGGCCCTTCGTGCCTGCTTACCACGGGGACGTGGTGAAGGACGGGGAGCGCTACAACCAGATGGACGACTTGCTGGCCGACTTCGACTCGCCTTGCGTGATGGACTGCAAGATGGGCGTCAGGTGAGCCGGTCTCCCGCATCCCACACGCTTGCCTCCGCCCAGGCCTGGCCACGCTGCGGACAGCAGGGAGCGCACGGGGCTTCCCGGAGGCCTTGTGGGCGCCAGTGTGAGCCGTGCGGGCTGTTTGACCAATGAGGGCCCACTCCGTCCCCGGGCATCTTCCTTATGTGCGGAGGGTGCAGGGACCCTGGCTTTGCCCGTGACGGCCCCTACCCTTCTCTGGCGAGCTGGGGTGAGGCAGGAGCCGAGGGCTGGCGAGGCCAGGAAGGGGGGCCCTGGCTGGGTCCTGAGCCTCCCCAGAAAGGGAGGAGAGAACTGCCCCCGGGTCAGGTGGGATTGCTGGGGGCTGGGGGGACACCAGGTAGGGAGGTGGCAGGAGGGTGACTTCCTGCTGGGGTGAGGCTCCGAGCTGAAGTCTTCTCATTACCTCAGGGCTGGGAGTGGGACGAGAGAGCTGCTAGTAGAGCATGTTGATTTGCCAGACACACCTGTACCTGCCTAAGGGTAAACTGAGGAGGGAGCTCAGGTGCTCAAGAGACCGACATGGCAGACTGGGCCTACGGGTGGCCCCTGCCAGCGGCAGGGCGCCACAGGGCCTGGCGGAGGCCTGTGTGCAGGATTGGCCACCGGCCCGGGGTCCTGCCTGCGGGGCTCAGGCTCACCCCCACTGTGCCCAGAGAGACAAGGCTGGAAAGGACCCCGGAGGGAAGGGGAGACTCTGGAGGGGGCTGGGTGGCCACCCTGAGCTCTGGGTCCCTGTTTTGGCTACGGGGTTTTCTCCTCCCCTCGCAAGCTGAGGCCCTTCACCCTGGGTCACCCACACGGCCCCTTCTCCCTCCCCTGTGGGGAAAGGTTGGTGAGTCTGTCTGAGGCTGTCAGCCATGCAGGATCCCGCGTGCTGGGCCACGTGGAGAGCCTGGCCCTGGCCGGACGGCCAGACGCGGGTCCTCCAGGGCACCTTGCACGGCTCGCCTGGGACGCCAGGCATGGGGACACGGTGCTCAGAGCTGAAGCCTGTGTCTGCTTTGAGGGGTTTGAGCGGTTTATTTCTTATAAGAGGAGATTGAGAAAGAGGGTTGTGTGTGTGTGGGGGGGGGGGCCCAGGAGAGGAGTGGGCCAAGCTGACTGGTGTTTTTTCCTTTCCTCCTGGCCCCTCCTGGGAGCCCTGCTGGCTGAGGCTGTGTTCCCTGCAGTTGCCCCCAGGGCCGGGAGGCGGAGGGGGAGGGGGAGGTATAGGCCCCACTGTTTGCTCTTGCACATCTAAGGCCCTCACTATTTTTAGCACACAGGAGGCTGGGGTGGAGAAGGGAGGAGACAGACCATCCATTCAGCCTCCATCACTTTTCCCCAGAGTCTGATTTCTGACCCTGGAAGACCCTACCCAGGCACCCCAGTGTGTGCCCTCTTGGGGAGGCATGGCCCTTCCTTCCAAGCCAAACCACAGCAGGACTCAGCTTGCCTGCAGGGAGGGGTGCAGGTCACAGCATGAACACCGGAAAATGTTCCAATTGGTATTCACTCACACTGTGGCCAAAAAACTTGCACCCCGTGTGAAGAATGTGTGGCCAGTCATTTTTGGAAGTCAGCGACCCCAAGGACACACTGTCCAGGAACCTGCCTGCTCCCCAGGCTGCTGGGGCCACCCCACCTCCACCCCGGGGCTGCCCTTCATACCATAGACTCTGGCAACTTCCCTATCATTGCACCCTAGGGCTCTCCAGAAAGACCGACAGTGACCAGCAAGGCTGGGACATGTTTTGCCCAGTCCTGGCAGGGGCCTGGAGTCGGAGGGGGTGGAATGAGAGAGGAGTAGGTGTGGAGGGAGGTCTCCGCAGAACTGGCCCATGCAGCCACACCTTCCCTGCACACGAGTCTTGGACCCTCCTTGCTGCAAGTACTGCGGTAGATGCTTGCATCATTTACGCCGGTGCATTCTCACGCCACCCTGGGAGTTGGATCATGGTCTGGTTTGAGCAGGGGGGTTCTGACACCCAGAGGTTCGGTGACTCATAGGGCCCCCCAGCCAGGCAGCGACATGGTGCAGATCTGCACCAGGCCTGCTCGACAGCAAACCAGGCCCTTGGCCACAGCCCGGCGCTGCCCAAGAAGGCAGTGTGGGACCCAGCTTCCACGGGGTCTCTCTAGTGTGCCGGGCCAGTTCCATTTGGGCCGTGGACTGTGGCCTTCTCCCAAACGCATTAATCCAGAACCCTTAGCCTCAGAGCCTCTCCTGAGACCAGCCATCCTAGGCCACCCCCAGAATGTGGCCTGTCTGTGTCAGAGGAAGGAGGCCAGAGCCCAGAGCCACCCCCAACACTGAGCCCAAATGCATAAGGAGTTGAGATGTGTCCCAGAGAAGTGGAAGGGCCAGTAAGCAAACACAGCATTGGCTGTGGTGGGGATGGGGGGTGGCACTCAAGAGGTGATGCTGGTGCTGGTAGCGTCTCCAACTAGGGGCTTCTTGGGACCCTGGTTCTGCGGGGACATGTACTCATGTGGCTCTGGGAGCATTCTTAGATGTGTGACTTGCCACGGCGTGCCAGCAGTGTCTTGCTGACATCGGGCCCAGGGGCCTGGGGAGGGGAGGCTAGTCCCTTTCCAGCACCTCTGCCCTGTAGAAGCTGTTGGTGGCCTTGGTCTGCCACCAGTTGGCTCCCCACGGGCTTGCTGCCTTCCTGAGAGGGGCACGCCCCTCACCCAGTCGTGAGTCACCTCCCCTCCCAGTGCCCCTGCGTGGGATGGAGCTTTGACTGTCCCACTGGGGCGGGCACAGCAGTGGGGGGCAGGGGCAAGAGGGTCACCTCCCCATGTACCTCTAGCCCCACCATCCATCCAGCTGGCAGCCCTGCGGGCATCCTGCCCCAGCCCCTCTCCTCTCCTGCGGGGGAGTGGCTCTGCCCACATTGAGCTGCAGGGGCCCTCTTTACAGAAAGGCCCATGAGAAAAGGGGTTTGACGTTGAGGTCTGCTTCCTGTTTAAGGAGCCGCTGGAGCTCTTTGCAGAAGTGCAGCCACCCACCCTCCCCAGCGGCACACACAGGTCCACACGCTCCATCCCTCCCGTCATCACTGACTAGCTCTGCGTGCACAGTGGTGGTGTGTGCACGTATATACCCGTGTGCATTCTTGCATGTGAGTGCATGTGTATGTGCGTGCATGTGTGTGCATGCAAGTGCCTGACCAAAAGCTATTGACCTCCCCTTACAGTGCTCGTTGCCTCCTGGAAGGTCCCAGCCAGGCCTAGCTTCGTACCCAAAGGATTTGGGTTTTTCTTCCTATTTCTTTCAGTGCAAATACTGATGGATACAGTAGTTTCTGAAAACCTATCGTTTTTAAGGCGTGCTGAGTTTTTGTTCAGTCTGTTCTGGGTCCCAAACCAGCAGCTTAGAGAAGGTGTGGTGGGAAGGGCTGGAGCAGGCGTGGGAGAGAGATGGGGAGGACGGACCACGTGCAGGGCAGGCGGGGCTCTGTGGGCAGCTCCCGCCCACGCAGGGGCAGAGAGGAGCAAACTTCCCCACCTTGTGACTGACACTGCTGATTTCTGTCTCCTGAAGGGCCGTGGGCAGGATCTGAGCCGTTGTGAGGGGAAGGAAGGCTTTAAAAGTTAGCAGGAAAGAGGGGCGGGGTGACTCACCCCCCTCCAGTGTGGAGATGGCCGCAGGGGCAGCCCCGTGCAAGCCTGGGGATGTGTGCTGGGGTGGGGGTGTGTCCCGGCAGCCCAGGGTCAGTGATTCAGCCTCGGGCTGCTCAAGTCCTGTACTGTCCCTGCCCCTGTCACCTCCCCCAGTGTCTAGGTGGTCCCCGACAGATCAGCTGGAACTGCATGCAGAGGGCAGGGCCCTGACTGTTCAGGCGGAGGTGTTTTCTCAGGCTTTGGGGCTGGCGTCGGTGGGGCAGCATGAGCCAGGCGTGTGTCGGGGAGGGCAGAGGCTAAAGAGCCCTCGTCTTTCCCTCCCCATCACGGGCTTCTCCATCCCCACTGTGCCCCTCCAAGGCCACCTTCTGGCCTGCCCTTCGTGCTCAAGATTTCCCCTCCTTAGAAAGAGCCAGAGACGTGGAAGGGCAGGCGCAGCCTTCGGGCTGCCTGAGAGGGCCGGGGGCGGGGAGGACAGAATGAGTTCTCCACGCGAGACCAGTGCTGGCTTTGGAAGGCCGCGCTGTATGGAAGGGGCCCTGAGCAGGACAAGCCACCAAGGTGGCCTGTGTCCGTCCTTCCTCTGCTGGCCCGTGTGGGGCTGTCCCTAGGAGGAGCTCCCTGGGCTTTGCAGGCCTCCCGAGCAGCCCTGGAATACCGGTGCTCGGTGAGGCTGCCATTTTTCTCTCGGATCCAAGAGCCAGCGCCAGGCGGGCACAGCGTGCCGCCCAGCCTGAGTGAACATGCCTCAACGCGGGGGGCCGCGGGCTGACTGCCGCCCTGGCGCCAGGCACGGCATGCGCAGAACCTTCACCCACCAGGCGGGAAAGGGGCTGCCGGGGGGGCGGTGGCCCAGCCGCGGCCCTGAAGTTAGCTCACCTCCACCCAGGACCTACCTGGAGGAGGAGCTCACTAAGGCCCGGAAGAAGCCCAGCCTGCGGAAGGACATGTACCAGAAGATGATCGAGGTGGACCCCGAGGCCCCGACGGAAGAGGAGAAAGCCCAGCGGGCTGTGACCAAGCCGCGGTACATGCAGTGGCGGGAGACCATCAGCTCCACAGCCACCCTGGGGTTCAGGATCGAGGGCATCAAGGTGAGCCCCTCAAGGTGCCACCGAGGGTGCCTGGCTCCCTGGTGGTGGAGCGATGGGGGCCTTGGGCCCCACCAGCGTTTACCCCCGGAGTCCTGGCTGCTCTTAGGGCCCTTCAGAAGCTGTAAGCTTCCCCTGCACAGGCCCAAGGTGGGGCACCCAGCCCCAGGGAGACATTTGGAGATGGCAGTCTGGGGTGCTGGCACGATGGCCGCGCAGGGGGCTCAGACCTCGGAGCAGGTCTAGCCCTGCCCAGCCGCCAGCCCTCTGCTGAGGTCTCTGCACTCAGCCCAGACTGTGCCCCACGCTGAGGAGGCCAGGTGGGAGCCAGCTTGTGGGATGCCCGTCCGGAGCCGGCTCATCCTGCCCGCAGCCTGCACACAGGGCAGGCAGCACACGCGGGCCAGGGAGGAGAGGCCCCGCGGGGTCCCAAGTAGCCATCCTCCAGAGCAGGTGGCAGTCCCTGCAGGGTTTTGGGTCTCCCATTCTCTGTCCATTCTTGGCCCACGTTGTCTTCGGAGTCTAGTCCCAGAGGCAGGGTTGGGTGGCCGAGAGTCCCAATGAGAGGGTCCCCTTCAGCCTCTTTTCAGATGGCATTTAGATGGAGGTTTCTGTGGTGGCCAGTGTCTCGCTGTGGTGGCATGTGGGGGAAAGATCTCACTTTCCCCCAGAACAGCCGCTTTGCAAGCTCTGGGCTGAGAAAGCCATTCGCCCCTTCCTTGCCTTTCGAAACCAGCCTTCCTTCTCTTTTGCATCCTGCCCTCAGAGTGGGTACAAATTATGTCCTCCTCCTTCTCTTAACACTGGCTTTCCTTCTGTGTCTGCTCAAACCATCCACCTTCCCTCTGCTAGCCCTCTGAGCAGAATGTGCTCCTGGTCTCCGTCATCCGGCTGTAGGAACGGCAGAGATTTGGGGGGTGGGGAGGGAGCGGTATGAGACCGCTGTTTCCAGGGCACCTGTGATAAGAGATCTTAGATTATAAAGACAGCTGAGCTGAGCTTGGGGTGGGGAGCACTTCTCTCCTGTCTGTGCCGAGGGAACCCCAGGGAGGGAGCCCCTGGACAGCAGGGACTTTCAGGCACCGGTTCCAGGGGCTGGGCCCCCCTGGTGGGAAGCCGTGGCCTCTGGGGGCAGGGCCAGCTCTCTACCGTGCTCCTCCAGCCTGGGCCCAGATGCCCCTCGCACCTGCAGGCCTCCCCTAGCACTGGTCACTCTGCCTTGGTTGCCGTCACCACCCTCTGTGTTCTCCCCAGTCAGGGCACAGGACAGGCTTCCCCTGCTGTGCCCACTTGGCTCCTTGCACCGTAGGTAGGCACCTGACAGCCGCCGGCCCTGAGAGCGGCTCAGGTGTCAGCGCAGGGCTCACCCGCTCCGTGGCTGTTAGGTGCTGGGCACGGTCCCTGCCCGCAGGTCCTCTGCTGACTCTGTCTGGGGCTGGCGCCGTTCTCCCTTTCAGAAAGAAGACGGCTCCGTGAACCGGGACTTCAAGAAGACCAAAACGAGGGAGCAGGTCACCGAGGCCTTCCGAGAGTTCACTAAAGGAAACCGTAACATCCTGGTGAGTCAGGGCGCCTCCGGGAAGAGTCTCTGGGCCGGCCAGAGAGGGGTCACTGTGCCCGCCCTGGAGGTCGTGGCCTGGCCCTAGCCTGCGCCTCACCGTGACAGCGGGAGCCACGCTGCCCACGCAGCAAGCCCTGGCCCAGACTTTCGCTTGGAAGGTGAAGGTGATGTGGTTGTCCCCAGCATTCGGGAGGGACGCAGGGAAGCTGAGTAAACACTCACTGCTCTCCCTTAGCCGCCCACCTCACAGCTTCAGAAAACATTTTCCATGCCCTCAAGAGAGTGATGATGGCTAAATTTCTTCCGTACCTGCTGCTTGCCGGCTAAGTGCTCAGCAAATCTCCATGGCGGCCCTCTGGTGTGGGTAGACCTTCTTGTCCCTATTTTGCAGATGAGGAAACTGAACTGTCAGGGACAGAGCTAGGAAAGGGCAGAGCCGGGGTGCACACCCCAGTCTGCCTGGCACAGAGGCCAGGTGAGCTGTGGGGTCCCTACCCGCTGCAGCCAGCAGCCTGCTGGTCCCCATGCGCCCTGATGCCTCCAGGCCGGGCCAGGCCTTACAGGCCGTGAGGCCGAGTGAGGGAGGTGTGCCCCCCCCACGAGAACTGGCCTGCTCTTTCTGAGCCTGGGGTTGTGGGTAGCACAAGTTCATGGCGCAGTGACTGCCTCCGCGTGCTGCCGCAGAGCTGGCAGGCTGGGACAGAGGCTCTGCCCACTGGGATCCGAGCGCTGACCCTCCCGGCTGAGTTGGGGTGTGTTACACCACTGCACCCCCAGTGCAAGGTTCCCTGTGATAGTCAGAGATCCAGGTACACCTGGGACGTGGACCCTGGAGCCCCCACGAGAGGCACCTCTGAGCAGGCCCCAGTGCTGCAGCACAAGGAAGGAGAGGCCCGGATGGCATTTTCCCCATGGAGACCCAGTGTCGCTGGAACTGGCAGGTCCCCCTCCCTCCTTTGTGGGCCAGGGAGGCTTCCCTTGCCCCTGGCGAGCTCTGAGGCTGTAGGCCCAAGGAATGCCGACTCTCCCCTGGCCCAAGCCGGGTCACCTGCAGGGTAGGGTTTCAGCCCCTTGGCAGTGCCTGTCACAGAGTGTTTCCTGTGCCGGCACCAAGAGGGGTTCATTCCTGGTGCTAAGCACCCCAGGGCACTGCCCGACCGGCTCTGCCAGCTGTCACTGCTGTTCAGATGGACACTGAGGAACCCCATGTGCCTGTCTGTGTCTCTTGGGCTTGAGACACACAGAGCTGGACCCTGGGGAGGACAGGGTACCCCCAAGGCCAGCACAGGTCACCTGAGTTTGCAGGGCTCTGTGGAGAGGACACTAGCAGAGATGTTCGTGGTCGTCCCACTTAGTCTGTCCTTTCAAAAGTCAAGGGCACTGAGGTTTGTGTTCAGGAAGACACTGTGGCAACCCAGCTCTCAGGATGCTGCCTCCAGACTGCTGGCATTCAGGGCAGACTGAACCCTCACCCTCAAGGGAGGAGCCCCTAGCTCTGATGTTCTGGAACTCTCCTTCCCTGAGCCTCCTGTTAACAGGGCAGTGGAATAGAGAAAGGTGGGACCTGTAGTCCGGTGGTACCTCCTCCTCTGGGCTACAGCTTCTTCGCTTGCAGATAAGGCAGTTGGAGTAAGTGAGCTGGTGTAGGGACGCTCCCACTGCTATGGTCAGTGACTCTGACGAGCTGGATGGGGCTTGAGCTCCACACGTTCCCCTAGCAGTGTTCAATATTCTTGTCATCTTTCTGTTCCCAGATCGCTTACCGGGACCGGCTGAAGGCTATTCGGACCACCCTAGAAGTCTCTCCCTTCTTCAAGTGCCACGAGGTAGATGCTGGGCTTCGGCCCTCTGGGCATAGAGCTGTGCATGCCCCAGACACCTGAGACAGGCCACTGGGGTCAGCTCCCTCGCTGTGTGGGGGACCACATCTTAATTCGGCTGTGTCAGGGTCCCTGGGCTGGCCGCACAGGCTGTCCTGCTGAGGTCTGTAGCCGTGGCCCCCTTGCTTCTCCCTCCCCTCCCAGCTCCTGAGCCTTGTCTGTTCTGGGCGGCAGAGGCAGGACGTCTGTCCCACTCACCCCGAGCATTGTAGGGCAGGAACTCTCGTAGCTGCTAGAGGAGCTGGGTAACCCCCGCCGCCATTGCTAGGTCTTCAGATGAGACCCTGAGGAGGGCAGGCAGGTCTGCAACCTTCCACCTGCTCCCGCCTTTGCAGACATTGGTCTGCGGGGGCAGTGGGCAGCAGAAGGGAAGTTGAGGCACTGGAGAGAGGCTCCGGGAACTGTCAGCAGGTTCCCTGGAGGGGTTTATGAGACCCTGACACGGGGAGTTTAGGGCCCCCAGCCCTGCGCACAAGCACACACACGTACATTCACGCATGCACTCACGAATCACACATGCACACACACAAGTAGGCGCACATTCTCACACGTGTACTCACAAATCACACATACACCACATGCATGCACACACACTAACACGTACGCACTCACAAATCAAACATATACTCACACATGCGTATATCCACACACAAACGTATATACTTTTCCATGTGCACGCCCAGTTACACACTCAGCCATTGCACACACACAGAGCAGCCCTCTTGGCACCCACATGCCCCAGGAGCCGCTAACGCCATGGGTGGGCGGTTTGAGGCAGCGTCTCGTGCCTAGGCTGTCTGCAGCCTGGCGGCTCTTTCAGGACAGCGGCCTCTTGAGGGCTCTCGTGTGGAGGGAGCTCTCGTGTGGAGCTTCGGCCCGAGCCCCCAGAGAAGGGCAGATGTAGCAGGAGGAACGCAACAGGCTGTCCAGGCACCTGGCAGGTGGTGCGCCTTCGTGCTAACTATACTGCCGGCCCCTCCCCAGGCGGACGGCTGACCTTGCCTGTGGTTTGCGTTCCTCACCTGCCCCTCGGCCAGGTACACCTGTCTCTCCGTCTGGACAGGATGGCTGTGAGGAGGGGAAGGGACACCCGGAAGGCAGACTCGGCTGCACTCTGCCCTCAGCAGGGGGTTTGGTCCAGCCCTTTGGCCCCCAGACCCTTGGCACCTCCTGGGGCCTGTGTGTTTCCAGCCTGACAAAGGGTCTTCGTGCAGCTGGCCAGAGCCTGCCTCCGCGCAGCCCTCCTCCTCCTCTCTGCAGGACAGAGCGCCTGCAGGCTGCTGGGGAAGGCGCAGGTTTGGCTGCGGTCTAGGAACAGCGGAAAGTGTTCAGCTGAAGGGGTGTCTGCCATCCCGGACTTCCTCCCTGCCGCTGCACACACGGAAGGGTGGTCACCGTTCCCAGAGTCTGATGTCCTCTGCCCCTGTGGGCTGGCCCAGCTGACAACAAGGAACAGAACTGGTGGCTCCGGAGGGGCGACTTGGCCTGAGCAGACCTCTCTCGGGCTCACCCTGGCCACAGGCCTGTCCAAGTCTCCTTGGGGGCCAGGGTGCAGTGCGGGGGCAGGGCAGGGGTCTCCAGCCCACCCCCTCCTCATCGCCCTGCCCACCTGCAGGTCATTGGCAGCTCCCTCCTCTTCATCCATGACAAGAAGGAGCAGGCCAAGGTGTGGATGATCGACTTCGGGAAGACCACGCCCCTGCCCGAGGGCCAGACCCTGCAGCACGACGTCCCCTGGCAGGAAGGGAACCGGGAGGATGGCTACCTCTCGGGGCTGAACAACCTCATCGACATCCTGACGGAGATGTCCCGGGGTGCCCCGCTCACCTAAGGCCGCCCGCGCCCACCCTGGCCTGCCCCGGGGCCTCTTGTTCTCCCTTTTGCTTCCTTCTCCTTCTGAATTTTTCCTTCACTTCTGCCTGGGCCCAAGCCCCGGAACTGACCCTCCCGAACTGCACTACAAGACACTTTGTAGAACAGGAGATGAGGTTTTCTAGTCATTTTCCTAATGTTAGGGCTTGGAGGTGGCCTTTCCCCTGCTCTTTGTAAATAGAATCACCTGCTAGAAGAGAAATACCCAGACCTAGGTTAGAGCTGGAAGAGCTCCCTGGCTGCCAAGGGGACCCTGCCAGCTCTGGGAACCCCCTAGGCAGTGCCGGCCCGGGCGGACTACCCGTGGGGGCCTGCTGCCCCCTGGCGGCTGGTGCCTTTAGCGCTGCCGCCAGAAGCGGCCCAGTTGTGCCGGGGCCTCCGGAGCAGACAGCCCAGCCTGGGGCCGGGTTCCTGGTGCCTGGCCGAGACACCCGGCTTTCTGCTAGTTGGGGCACAAAACCACTATGGACCCACATGCTGTCCATGAGTGAAGTACCTTCTAATGAGCTCCAGGGGCTTCCAGAGCTGCCACGGTGGCCTTTCTAGGGCTGCTAAAGCAAGGACCCTCACCCGTCCTGCATGGAAACCCCCCAGCAGCCTTGGGCCAGATCCGGGAGCCAGGAGAAGCCAACCTGGCTGTGTTCTCTCATCGATACCTTCCCAGGAGGGGACAGGCAGGAGCTCGCTATATCCTTCCATCCAGGATTGCTGCCCGGGGATTCAGAGGGTGCGCTCTGCCATGCTGAGCTCCAGGGATGCCACCGGGGGGAGGAGAGAACCTGCAGCATCTCTGGGACTCTGGTCCCGGGGCACGATGCTTTCTCTTGCCTGTTACCTTCTGAGGGCTGGTAGGGTTGCCTGCCTGCATGCATGGGGCTTTCACGGGGACCAGAGTCTGTGTTCAGGAAAGAGGGAGTAGCTTGGGCCTGCGACAGGCAGAGAGAAGGCAGGATTCTGGCTTACTGGCATCATTTTTTAAAATTCTCCCCTGAAATACATCTTATGACCTAAAGGGCATAGACCCCTGTTTCTCTAAGGTAGTGTGGGAAGCTTACAGGGCGTGTGGTGGGGCCCCAGGGGTGTGTCAGGCCGCTCTCACTGGAGTCTTCTGTGCTGCTTGGAGATTCGTGGGGAACCATTTTTGAGCCTTATTTTAACTGAAAGCCAGAAAGTCTGTATTATGGAGAAGAATGTAACATTTTGCATGACTTTTTAAGAACAAAACTCCCAGATCTGTGGCCGTTGGCGCTGTGTCCTCAGGCCCCTTGGGGCTCACCACCCCCTTCTTTGCTGTCAGGTTCGGGAGTGCAGAGGGTTGAGGGGTTCTGGCTGGGCACCAGGCCACAGGGGGCTGCTGCAGGGACACAGGGAGATGATGTGGACCAAAGTGTGTGCGCCTGGAGGGACCGCCACTGCGGGAGGGCTGCCTGGGTTGCCCGCCCTGGCACCCCCGGGGTCTGGGGGAACTGTTGACTTGCCCCCGGGACACGGACGTTTCCCTCTTGTGCTGGGTGCCTGAGTGACGGTTGGTGGGGGCGGAGGCTGAGACGCATGAGGATGTATAAGTACAGATTTTAAAAAAGGAAATCACTCAAACTTCCTGGCTCTTGTTCAAAACAGTGGTGAGCTCCTGTGGGGGCTGACTTGCTAAAGGTCACACCCCCGCCCCAGCCGAGCCCGAGAGGCCTCGTGACAGCCCGTGATCTGGAAGGCAGGCAGGATGGGGGCGTCAGGGAGCCAGAGCCAGCTGTGGGTCTCCGGCGCTGTAGTCACTTCGGGGTTAGAAAGGACCCTGGTGGGCTGTGCTTCAGTGATTTGCAGGAGAGCGACATCATTCATTCAGATGTGGAAATTCTACCACTGTGGACTGGTCAACAGTTACTCCATCTGTGAAAAACATTTGCTAAAGCAAATCAATGATACGAACAAAACGTAACGGACCAGCTTAACCTGCTTAAGAGAACAAAACTTTCCAAGCACTTTAAGCAGGCACCTGTTGTTTGCAAACAATGTGCTAATGTGCAAATGATTTGTTGATTAAAGGAGGCCCCAGTACTTTGCTTTGGGTTATATATGTGAAAGTGGTAAAAAAAAAAATGGCATCATTTTAGGGTTTTCTATTACTTAGGGTTTTTTTGGGTTTGTTTTTTGTATTTACCATGCTAGTTGTCCTCTTCCACACTTACTCTGTACTCACCCCCTTGTCCTGCCATCTGGCCCGCCCCCCTTGTCTTGAGTGGGATAGGTGGATCCTGGAATGGAATCTTCCAGAACCCCTGCCCTAGCTGTCTAAAAGACCATGCCTGTCTGGCCCAGGTCCTGGCAGGGGCTCCTTGGGCCCTGGCTCTGCAGGTGCCAGGAGCTGGGACAAGCCCTGTGCACCTGTGCACAGGTGAGTGGGTGCTGGGCCCTCCTGCTCTGTCCTCCTGGGCCCCGGGGTTCTTGGTGGTCAGCACTGCTTAGCATTCTTGGAAGCTTCCTCAACTGCTTTTCCCAGACTTGCCTTTAGTGTCATGTAAGAAGTTTTTAAGTTATATTTATTTTGTCGGTTTTTAAAATTGCACAGAACACTAAGACTGAAAGGCTGGACGCTGTTTCTCCTGTAAAGCTTTGACTTCGTTTTGAGCTTCCTGTCCCACTGGGTTGAAGGAGCCTGGATGCAGCCTGGGCCCCGAAGGGGGACGCTTTCCCCTTTAGTTGTATTTAGCTTTGAATTTCTCTGTACCGTCAACCCCGTGTGTATATAGGCCGGCGCCTTGCTCTAGGGCATTCACCCCGTCAGTGCCTTTTTTCTGGAGGAGAGGACCCCCCCAGAGAGGCCTTCCTTCTCTTCTGCACCCCGCTCCTCACGGGATCTTGGAGAAAACTGAACTGTTACAGATGCCCCGCACCATGCCTGTCAGACAGACCGCAGTGTACAAATAAAGCCCTGGAGACCAGCCTGTGTGCGGTGTGGTCCTTCCCGTCCTAGGCCCGGACACATGGCTTAGCGGGGTGGGCTGAGGGGTCTTTGAAAGCTGGAGGATCCACACTGGGGTTATTGGGGACGGTCACACTGGGGAACAGTGTAATCTGCGAAGAATGTGAAGCAGTTTTCAAAACGAGTCATTTCTACTTTGTCCACAAAACCTTTAAGTAGTTCGGGGACACAGAACAGCGATCAAGAAGTGCTTCCCCCTCCACCCCCAAAGCTTGGGGTCTCTGTGTGGCTGCTGCTTCTGGAGACTTATGCAGTGCTAGGCGCCAGCTGAATGCTCAGGTCTGGGTTCCCGTTTTACCCAGATCAACTCTATGAACGAGGCTTTTTAGTCTCTGTTTTACAGATGAGAAAACTGAGGCTTAGCTCAAGCAATCTGACCTGGGTAATATCTGGGGAGCAGGGATTAGAACCCAGAATTTGCCTGGATTCAAAACCAGTTCCGTTGTCTTCCTAACTTGCAGAGTGTCTGAGGGCAGAGAGGTCCCCTGGGCCCCAGGCTCCAGGCTGCAGCCTGACTCGGCACGTCGTGGCAGCCCAGAGAGGGGCTGGTGAACTGACGGAAGGCTGCTTGGCTGGGTGGGCAGGGGAGGACCCCGGAGAGCAGACGCCCCGCCACACGCAGAGGCTTCCTGCGGTATTGTGCGCTTCCCGTAGGCCTCTCTCCAGCTCGAATGCGGGCACTTCATTTGCAGAACTCAGAATTCTTTTTCTGGGGATGGGGGCACATCGTTTCTGCATCCCTTTGAGAAGTTACGGGATAAACGTACAGACAACAAAAGTCACGGGCCTTTGCACCTTCTGTCCCTTTGCCTGGGATGCTGTTGCCAGGCTGGCGCGTGATAACTGCTCGCTTCAGATGCCTGCGCCTCCACCTGTGTTGTGTTCTTGTCGGCACCGCAGCAGCCAGCTCGGCGGGGGCCCAGCAGTGTCCACGCAGGTACGGCTTGGCAGTGACCAGAATTGCTCCTGCCCGGCGCCTGAGGTGCTTCCTGCCGCAAGGTTTCCCTGTTGCCCAGAGGCATGGGATGGCTCAGGCTGGTGCCTGCGTACCCTTGAGGTCTGGGGATCTGATGGTCTGTGGTGCAAAGCTTTCACCCAGGGGAGATGAGGACAGGGGCTCGCTCCTTCACCATCATCCGCCAATGGCTGCGGCCTGCCTGGCTTCTCGGGGAGCAGCCCCTGAGATCAAGCCGCCAGCTGCCCATGACGGTGGCTCCTTAAGCATTAGCCTTGTGCTGGTGCCCCTCCTGCCCTGGCTGTGCCCCCTGGTCCCCCTCACCGTGGAGAAAGGGTCAGACCCCAGGCTGTGGGCAGGGGCTCAGAAGAGGAGCCCTGTCACCCACCAGGGCACATGGCCCCTGGGTAGAGAGGGGTTGTCCTCCTGACTCAGTGACGGGGACCCTGGGTCTGGCTGCCTGCTGCAGGCAACCTCATGGCCAAGGCTGCCCACTGGCTCCTCCGCCCACTCTCGGAAGAGGGAATCGGTGTGTGAACCAAATGGAGCTCAGGGAGCTCCCTGGCGACGGCCCCTCCACATCCCGTGTCTTTAGAACACAGAGCCTGGAGTGACTGCTCGTGCTGACTCCGTGGGGAGTCTTTACTCCCTGGGGCAAGAGGCAACACCTGCGTTCTGCCGCTGCAGGGAAACCCATCCCAGTGTACGTCTGGGAGCCGGGGACACCGCAGACGGGGCCCACGGCAAGACGGATTTCGGCCAAATCTCATTTATCCTGTGGGCTCCTAAGCTGCTCTCTAACCAGAGGGCCATGGTGGCATTCAGGTCTCAGGTACCATTGGCAACTCTGACCCCAGGAGACTGACTGTGGCTGCTGGAATGGAAAGCTGTAGACTCCCAGAACAAGGCAGCTCACAGACCACTGACCGAAGGTGGGCCTGGGCCCCTTGAGGGGGACCTGCAGCACCACCGCGAGAGTATGACAGATACTCTTCCAGCCCAATCCCAGAGGGGCCTGCGGCCATTGCCAGAGCCCCCGTGCCCACCCTGGAGGACCCTGAGATGCGGCCTTCACCGCAGGACTGCGTTGGCGGTGAGCCGCCCCTGAACCCTCCACTTTCTCTTTGCAAGGCTTCCAGCACGGTCAAAGCGGCCAGACCACACGCGGTCCCCGCAGCATCCTTGCTCCCCGACAGAACCCGGGCCGCGGCCACTGCATGCCCCAGTGCCTCCTCTTCCACCCGCGCCTCGGCCCAGTTCGCCACAGGTGAAAGTCCATCGTGGCACCCGACGTCACCACCTTACTCCCGCCAGCGACACAGCCCTTGCTGCCTTCGGGTGGGCGGGCAGTCCGACTTCACAGTCCCACCCCGAGGTCACTGTCTCGGCCGAGCGACTGTCCCGGGACTGGCTTGTCTCCTGGAAATCCCGGTTGGTCAGCCACGGTGGCTTCCCAGAACCTCGTCTGGCACAAATGGCTTCAGCCCGGGCTCCCTAGAAGCAGGTCCCCGTGGCCACTGCTTGGCAGCAAGCGCCTCCAACTCCTCAGGCTTGCGCACGTCTTCAGAGAGCCCAGATGAACTGCCGTGTCTGGGGACAGTCCTGGAGGAGGCAGGGACAGGAATGCTTATGTCAGCCGCCTCCCGCTCTGTCTCCCTCGGGTCAGTCTTCCCGGAGGCTGTGATCTCTGGCGTGGCCCTGCCAGCTCCTCCAGTAAGCACAGGGCCACCAGCCTGCACACAGGCACTGCAGCCCCTTTTCGGGTGGTGGTGGCAGCTTCTGTGATCTGGCTCTGAGACCCTCGGTGCCGCACGAGTCGCGGCTGGTTGCGCCAGTCTGGCGTGTTGTGTAAACTGAGTCCGGTCGGGCCCTTGTCCCACAAACACTAGCAGCGCAGCGCCCACCCAGCCCCCAGCCCCCCGCCGGTCCTCCACTTTGCCCCTTTTCTGTCCTTGACTGAGAGTCTCAGCCCCTGACCTGACTGGACAGGGAGCTGGGGTCACATGGAACTGCCCTCCCAGGCCCAGTTCTGGTCTGGGGAGGGGAGAGAGGCTGCAGATAAAAGGGCCCCACGGGGCTCCGCAGCAGGGTGGCTGGGGACTGCTCAGCAGTCTTGGTGACAGGAGGCTGCCTCCAGACCAAGGGCCACCAGAATGACACTCCTGGAAGCAGTGAGGATCAGCAATTGGGACAAGGCCCCAGGAGAGGAACCAGCAGACCCAGGCCTGCTTCTAAGCAGCTGCGGCCCCACCGGCCCTGTGACCTCTCCTCCCTGCAACTGTCAGGGCCAGGGTCACTGGGGGGTCTTTGCTGCAGTCTGGGAGTCAGTCGGCTTTAACGCAGGAGTTCTTCACCTTTTGGAGGGGAGTCTCTTGAGACAATTTAGAGGAAACCGTGAACCTTTCTTTCAGAAAATATCCACATGCACGTACACGCACGATATTATATGGACATTCAGGGGCCCAACCGACACCCCTCACAGCCCACTGGTAAGTCCCCAGGTGTGTATGGGCCCTGGCTTAAGAGTCCTTGGCTTGTAATAATTGTAATCACCCTTCTCAACAATACGCGACGGATGCATGTCCCCTCCCTGTGCAGATGTCTCGGTGCATTCGAGACCTGCCTGGCCCCTTCACCATCGCGCCTTCTGAACAGGTGCCACCTTAGGAATGTGGCCTCCTGACTTCATAAATAAAGCTCTGTTGGAAACAACCACGCCCGTTCGTGTCTGCATTGTCTGTGGCGGCTTCGCGCGCAGCGGCAGAGCTGCTGTGAGCCGTTGCCGCAGAGACCGTGAGGCCGCAGAGCCTAAAATATTTACCCTCGGGCCCTTTACAGAAAAAGTTTGCCGACTCCTGCCTGAGAATGATGGGGATGTGATCACCTGGCAGCACCACACTGGGTGACCTCAAGGCTAAGTGGTTTAATCCCTATAAGAACTCTGCAAGATGAGCTTTGTCATAAGGCCCTGGGGGTAGGGGCTGAGCTGCAGAGCCCAAGCCTTGGCTCTAGCCCCCAGTGC